AATAAAATACTTGTCTTCACTTGCATGGGCAAAACATTCTAGGATTAGCATTCCTATCTGGAAGCACCTGGAAAATCCTTTCCAAGTTCAAAGTAATAAAAGCAAGGCAATTACAAGCATTACAAGAAGTAATTAGAGCATGAGCCAAAGGTGAAGAAACATAACTATTACTTGCTTATTTTACTAAATTGTGAAAGGCTTATTCAGGTGACTCATATAGTGTAAGTATGGGATTACTAATTTTGAGCCAAAGGCACCATAATCACATAACATAATCACATGTTATTTGTTAACTAACAGTTTTATATCCTGCCTTTCTCTTCCAAGAACATGATCCTCAAGTAGCTGCAGGTTATTCCTTTTGGAGATGCAGCAGATATTCTTACAGCATCTTTTTCCTCCAAAACAACAAAAGCAGCTAGAGATGTATGAGGTGACTAATTAGGAAATGTTTCTATGGCAGCATTTCTTAACCTGGGTGTCGGGACCCCTGGAGGGGGTTGTCAGAGGGGTCACCAAAGACCATCAGAAAACACAGAATTTTCTGTTGGTCATGGGAAGTTTGGCCCAATTCTATCGTTGGTGAGGTTCAGAATGCTCTTTGATTGCAGGTGAACTATAAATCCCAGCAACTACAACTCCCAGTTGTCAATTTCTATTTTCCCCAAACTCCTCCAGTGCTTACATTTGGGCATATTGAGTATCTGTGCCAAGCTTGGTCCAGATCCATCATTGTTTGAATCCACAGTGCTCTCTGGATGTAGGTGAACTACAACTCCCAAGCTCAAGGTCAGTGTCCACCAAATCCTCTCAGTATTTTCTGTTGGTCATGGGAGTTCTGTGTGCCAAGTTTGGTTCAATTCCATCACTGGTGAAGTTCATAATGCTCTTTGATTGTAGGTGAACTATAAATCCCAGCATCTACAACTCCCAAATGATAAAATCACCCCCCTCAGCCCCACTAGTATTCAAATTTGGGTGTATCGGATATTTGTGCCAAATTTGGTCAGTGAATGAAAATATATCCTGCATACCAGATATTTATATGATGATATATGACAGTAGCAAAATTACAGTTATGAAGTAGCAACCAAAATAATTTTATGGTTAGGAGTCACCACAACATGAGGAGCTGTATTAAGGGGTCACGACATTAGGAAGGTTGAGAAACACTGTTCTATGGTGAAAGGATCAGACAATCAAAACAAAGATCCATCCTGTATACTATTCCACCAAGATACCATCCTATCTTGGTGGAATAGCTGCATCTGAGAAGATCACAAGATGGAAAAAAAAGTTGTCTGCTCTGTGTTGTCCACATATCATAATAACAAGTGCATTGCTTCTATGTCTTCAAACTCCAGTGTGGTCTTATCCTAAGAAGCATCTCAAATACGCCCTTGTTTCTTACCAATTGGAATTCCTTTAATATCCAGCAGACAGCCATCATGCTATTCAAGAAAGTAAAAAGTAAAGCAAAAAGGTTTCTGCTTTTCCTATGCAGCTGAGTGAAAAATATGGACCTGTGTTCACTGTCTACTTTGGGATGCGGCCAGCTGTGATCTTATGTGGACATGATGCTGTGAAGGAGGCCCTGGTAGACAAGGCTGAAGAATTCAGTGGAAGGAAAACTAATCTTACCCTGGAAACAACGTTCCAAGGATATGGTGAGGACTATCTTCATATCTTGAGATCATCTAGGTCAGTGTTTCTCAAACTGTGCTCCTCCAGGTGTTTTGGAATTGTGGGAGCTGAAGTCCAAAACATCTGGAGGAGCCCAGGTTGAGAATCTTTGATCTAGGTAGACTATTCTTTCAGTTTCATCACTTTCACAGGAGCATTTAGTGGGAATGTGAGAGAGGACCTTCTCTCACATTTGTCCAGGCTCTGGAACTCCTTTTTTTTAGAGAGGTTGGACTGGCATGTTCCTTGCTGTCTTTCTGAAGCCAAATGAAGATCTCTCATCAGGCAATCCTTTGACGGCTGATTCCTCAGAAAAAAAGATCCTTTCGGAAAATGCTATACTGCTTACAGAAAGTGCAGTTTTTAGAATTGCACTATTTGTGAATTTTACATTTGCAGATTTGCAGATTATTCATGGATTGGATTAATCCATGAACATGTGATGTTGGCAGAACCTTGATAGCAGTCAAAGGCACTCACAAGATAATCTTGGAAATACCTTTAATGCCAGGTTACTTATACATGGACAACATGGACAATACTTCCCTAAAACCTCACCCCATCAGTTCACTAAATTTTTTCAGGCAGCCTCCAGTTCCAGTATGAGCTGGTTCACATTATTAGCCTGTTCTGAGGCTAGGCCCAAATTATCAGTCTCTTTGCCATGGTGGGCCTTCAGATGTTTTGCATTCAACTTGGGTGGAAGTCATGGCACAGGTATGCTCTGGTGTCTTAGGATCTCACCAGCATCCTAGGACGCTTCCACGCCATCTTCAGGACGGAGCCACATCGGACATTGCATGATGTCATGGGACTTCCAGCAGAGGCTATGCTCCCAACTGTGATAGAAGCGCCATTGGACGCTTCCCCCAGAACACAGGAGGCTTCCCATGTTGTGTTGGCTCCAATACAGCCAGCATGGGGCCTCTCCACAAGGGTGACACTTTTCCCATGTGATGGGGAAAGTGTCACCAAGAGAGACGTGCATGCAATGTGACTGATTCACCCCACTGCCCCTCTCTTTTGTTGCAGAGACTAAGCAAAGCGAAATGCTTCACCTGTCCTTTTTGACAAGGCCCTCAGAGACACCAAATCCATGACAAAATAATCAAATCCCATGGGACTCTGCAGTCAACTTCTACCAGAGTCGTGCTAGAAGACCTAAAGATTCAAGGAACTAAAGATATAGCACAGCTCTGTAGCCAACTTTCCATAGACATTGACCACAGAATCACACTGTAGGACCTTGAGCTTCCTAGAGAGGTGTTCCCTTGTGTAAAAAAATAGCAGTATTTTAATCCTATTTTTTCATGGTTCTTCACCATGGAATTTGGAGGGCTGATTGTATATTTTAGGCCCTTTTATTCTAACAATAGTTTGATTTTTTTTTAAAAAAAAGTTTTATGTGATATGAAATTTAGGTGGAACTGATTTACTTTCATAAGTGTGTCCTGCATCATCGTCACCATCATCATCATCCCAACTTAGGCAGGATCAAAATAGACCTTTATCCCAGAAGCATTCACATTTTTTAAAAAAGCATGGATGTTTCTGGGTGCCTGTCCACACCTACCCCAGAAAGTGGGATGGGTGTCCAGGCGTTCTCTCGGGACTAGCCCTAGAGAATGTCTGGAGGCCCTCCCCCCTTCCTCCAAGCCCCCAGACCCCTTAGAAAAGTAATAAAACTTATTATTAAGCCTTGGCCGGCTCTCCCAGCATGTAGAAATGACGCACCAGGAGAGCGGGAGGAACATTCCCCCCCCCCCCCCCCCCCACACACACACACACTGCTCTCCTGGCATGTCATTTCTACACACCAGGAGAGCCGTCCGAGGCTTGTAATGGGTCCAGGGCCTTTGGGGGAGGGGTTTGTATTCCCACAGTTCACCGGGCTTATTTAGCCCAGTAAACTGTAGGAATGGTGTCTGGACTATAATCCAGACACCAGAAATAGTGGATTTATCCCATGCCTTCCAAGAAGGCACGGAATAAATCCACTATCTAATTAATTAATTCGCTACAAACCAGGGTTTTCCCAATAAATTTGGGACTGTCCAGAACATTGTCTGGACAGCCCTTCCTTTATTGTGGTAGATGCCACAATAAAGGTCCTGTCTGGATGGGCCCTAAGTCTTATGATAATAGTCCATATACTTTCTGCTCTTTCCTGGCTGTCATGCCATTCTTGTCTTGATTCTTTCAGGGGAAGCATTTTCCAATGGGGAGCGTTGGAAGAAATTGCGTCGGTTCACTCTCTGTGTCCTGAGGGACTTTGGAATGGGAAAAAGATCAATTGAAGAGCGAATCCAAGAGGAAGCCCAGTTCTTGCTAGAAGATTTTAGGAAAACCAAGGGTGAGTAAATGAAGTAGTTAAGCTGGAGTTGTTTTGCATCTCTACAGTGAAAGAGCCCTAAGGACAAGACAGCTCAGGGGTCCAAATGCCTATGATGACTTTGGGACTCAAGAAAGATAAAAGAAAACTAGGATGCAATGGAGATTTGTGGCATATTGACCCAACATGGGACAGAGTGGAAAGAGTAATGAAAATAGATAGGGGACATGAATAAAATAGGAAGCATTTCCTCATTTCAAAGTAAGTGGGAAAACACACAGGAGGAATATCATTTCTGCTATCCCAAAAAACAGTCACCTGTGTAATGCAGACAATAGATGAGAGTCTGTACTTTAGATGATGGATTAAAGTGGGCGTATTTGCCCATTATTCCACATTTTTTCATGTATTGTGAGGCATCTTCTAAGCCAGCTTTTCCTCATTCTGATGCATGCTCTCCAGATGTGTTAGACTACATATACCACAATATCCAGTTACATTGTGGGAACAAGTTTGAATGAGGATATTCTAGTCTGCAGCACCAGAAGCACATAAACCAGCTTTTTTAACCTGTGGGTCATGATGGGGT